CTAGTCATGTGACTTCGCTGACGCTAACAATATGTTAACACAATTATTCCTCTGAACAAGTCCCTCATATCTCAGCTCGGAATTTTAAAATATTTTATATTATGGACACAATTCCATAACTTTATATACAATATCTGGATTACTCATCTGTATATCTATTAATCGGGGAGGGAGGGCATAAGTCTAATGGTTAGCTTCTGGGCTACGAATCTAAAGGCCCAAGATTCGACCCGAGACGCTGCAAAACACTTTCCGTATCTCAGCGTTATAAATTGACAGTCAATCACGTTATTTGGTTTCAGAAGCTGGATAAAGCCACTGTGACTGCGATTTCTGTTAGATGGCTGCCTTCTCTGTGGTCAGTATCTGAAATTAAGAAAGCTTTACCCGAACCTTTGCGGTCTCTGACCAGGTCGTTTAGCCTGTATGCATATAAAGTAACGCTTAGGTTGAAAATTTCTTTAGCAATTTTTTTTTCTTAACAGCATTGAACGAAATTTGAACCTCACCACATCTTTTTTTCTTTTTGAAATAACTTTATAACAACCACTATTAACTAACATACTTGGAAAAATAAAGTAGGCCTAATAAAGAAGTGATCGTGTAGCGTATCTTATGAATATTTCTTTTATAGAAGAAATATGCATGTGTTGATTCAAAGATTCGTAAGTCACACAACAAAGTGTCTTTTTTTTTTGTCTAGTAAGCAATTACACTTCTTTTTTATACAGTCGTGTTACTTTAAAAATATTCAAATGAAAGTTGATCAAATATACAGGATAGAAAAATATATTTATTTAAACTACAACACAGTAGCGACAGTGCAAACCACGAATTCAAAATAATTACCTAGTACATAGCAAACTGTTTTGTTTCTTTTAGGTCAGAAATATCCAGTACAGGACAGATGAAGGTTGAAGATTTCCATTAATTTAAGCATCCATATTCCTTCATTTACAATTCTTAAAAATATATATTATATGCAGATAAAGCACAAACTATATATATATATGTATAGCTAAATAACAAGGGTGAAATTCTGCCAGTACTCACCGGTACTGAGTACCGGAACTTATTTTTTAAGGCGGTACCAGTACCGGGATTTATTTTAGCTGCTTTATCGTTTTTTTTGTTTTTTTTATGTTTAAACGTATATCTTTTTCTTTTTAAGATACAGGTCCACTTCACACAGCTGAGTACTTCTAATTTGTTTGAGAATTTCACTCCTGGATATATATATATTTCAAGGAAATTCAGCCGAAAATATGATTCTGTAATTATTACTAGTATTACTAAAAATTACAGTACAAAATGATTACGCTTACCCAGAAGTGAGAAAGGGCATTTACTTCAAAGGTCTTGACAATTTCTTTCTCAGAGCAGTCTAAAAATCGTTTTCCTGTTACGATACCGGCATTATTGACCAAAATAGTAATGCTTCCGACTTCTTGCTTTACTTGGGCAGCACGTTTATTGATGCTGTTACAGTCGGAGACGTCACAGTCGTACACATATGCTTGCCCTCCGAGTTCGCGAACTTGGCGTTCTGTTTCCTCGCATCCCTCACGGTTAATGTCCCACAATACTACTCTGGTACCCAACTTAGCAAATCGTAGTGCTAACAGACGACCAATTCCGCTACCACCGCCTGTTATGAGTACAGTTTCTTTACTAATGTCTTTGTAACGCAATCTTTTAGGCACAAAAGTCAAGAAAATAGCTTCAAGCCAGTAATAAAGAATCAAACCGATTGTTGTTAAAACTTTCAACACAGCAGCAACTACATCAGCCATCATTGAAGGATATTCAAATATTTCTTAACAAATAACAGTCAGTATCAATTCTTAAAATATCGAAACTATATCAAAAAATGTTGGCCAAATAATGACTAAAACTGACTCGAATTTGATGCAGTTACAAAACTGATAATAGAAACATCAACACCATGTAAAAAGTGCTATATTTGTGCCACCAAGCTATATGCCTAGTCGAAGCGTTCTTCAAAGCTAAAGACGACTCACGTTATAATACTTTTTTATGTATTAATAAACTTACTTTTCATTGAAATTTCAAAGAAAAAAAAATTACAAAAACGCTCACTAGCCTGGCTATATATAGTGACAAAAAGTTCTCTGTAATAATAAGCCAACGCCTCCGAAACCGTAAGAGCCTCCCTTTCATCAAGTTCAGAAAGTATAGCACGTGACTCGTATATAGTAGAGAGTCGTGGTACATGCACATCTATTTGTATGTGCTGCCATCTAAGGGTTAATTATCAACTGTCGAGTATCATCAAAAATATTATTGAAAAAAAAACTTGAGTTTTAAACAGCTGTAATGAAAAGAAGATAGTAACTATGTTAATTATTTTTGTGTGAAATATCACTACCTATAATCTATAGCACAATATGTATTACGAATTGCTTACTTAGAAGTAACCTCGGTCTACCCACGACTAAGAGTAATCAAGTTACATACTGATCAGAGACTAAGCAGATCGGCTAAGAAAACTGTGCTAGATAAAGCAGTATGCAGTAACCAGCTGTAATGCTTTATAAACCTTGAGGTCTCAAAATGGGTACTCAGATAGCTCTTGTGTAGGCCTGTGCGAATTCTGAAACGAACAAAGGAAGCAAATTAAAAGTGTCTTCACAACTATATAGTGACGATCAGCTACATTTCAAATAAAAAATAATGAAAGTGTCGACTAAAGTTAGAAGTAACAAGACGCACTTAATAATTTCATAGTAATGCAATAGCTTTGCACGTAGTAATATGTAAACCCATTGAACTTCAATTATCGCAAAAACTAGAGAATGAAATAGCGAAACCACTGAGAGCTTTTGTCCCACCGATTTTATGAATTTTATAAGAAAAAAGATATTTATAAATGCTCTAGATTCAACTAGATGATATAAGTCGTACTAATCACTTTACTCGTCCTTTCACCAAGGTATGAAATACAAGATTATAAATAATCATACTTTTTATAAATTACATCTAAATGAACTGCCCGTTAGTATTTTTAATTATGAGAAACTATATTATGGCACACGTCGTCGTATAATACGTAACATTAATACATTCTAATTGAAGAAAAAATAGAGAATAGTTATTTATTTAAGATAACATCACGTATTTCTGTATGTGACGTCATTAGTTACGAACTGTATATGTATATCTATATATATATATACTATCCCACGGCCAGTTTCTTTTCGTGTCAGGGCCAGGAAGTGTGGATATTCGTTGCTTACCATGGAAAAATTTGAATCATTGACTGCATGGGAAGTTAGTTAAAGCGGTAAGAAAGTACGCTTATAAAAATAGGCCAGAATAATATAATTTATTAAGTTGTTCATTTTTCATAGTTATTTTTTATTGCTTTGTAAATATATCTTACTTTATTTTCAATTAAATCGACACTTAAGATTAATTAAACATGAGAATGAAAGGAGATAGCGATAGAAAATTTCTATTAGGGAAAAGCAGCGTACATAGCATGTTACGACCTCTTTATCAAAAAATAATTTGGGCCCCGTTTACCGCCCTTTATTGACGTTTAACTAGACTACTGAAACAAAACAAAAAACAACAACATGTATCTCTCACCTTTTTAGATAAATAAATTTTGGGAAGTTTCTGATTTTTTAATTTTTCTTTTGCCTCGCTTTTCACTCCACCTCGACTCTGAGATGTAGTGGCTGCCTGTTTCGAGTTTTGAAAAATTGCTGCCACAACTGTATTCGTGTCTTAGCAACTTCAGTCAACAATGCTATCGATACTGATTGGCTGATGGCGCTTATTGTCTCTTGATTTTTGACCAAACAGTTAATTTAGAATTGTTATTTGGTTTAAACAATATTTACACACCGTAATCACCAATTTTAGAATGATCTTGTTCCGCAAGACGAGAAAAGAAAAACTTGGATAAATGATAATAAATAAATGAAAAATTTATCTAGTTTTATTTTAGATGTGTCAATTTCAGGGGCGTATCCAGGATTTTCTAAGGGGGTTGCTCACTTTTGAAAATGTTTTGAAAACGTAATCAAATCAATATGAAATTACTCATTATTAGATTTCATTGCCTTTTTTGACCATGCAGTTGTTGTCACTTAGTTATATCACTGTTGTTATGAATAATAAGTATAGTGTATTAGTAATACATGGAGAACCAATTGCCAGAAAAATAGACACTATTTATTTTTATAGATCTCCGAGGAGGGGGAAGGGGTGCGCGTTATATAGTGGATAAGCCACTGAAATTATCATGAAACATGATAGTGGTGCATAATAGCGTTCGCCCAGGAATTTCATAATCCTTCTAATAGGTCATACCGGCAAAACCATCTTAAAAAAGAAATCTTGTTATTTAAATAATACTCAAGACCTTCTATCTCAATGGCCAAGGCTGCTAAAATAGTAATAATAGCAACAAAACAGATTGCTAGACAAAATTCATTCATTTGTTCTTCATATTATTATTATTATTCTCTCACAAGCCTACCGAGAAAAAAAAAAAAAACGGCTATGAATATTCTATTCAAACCTGGAAAAACCTACTAAAAAAACTCCTACTCAAATCATAAGAATATTTTTATGTTGATTCTTGAAAGAGAAGGAGAGATTTTATCACTTTTTCATCGCTACTGGCTAAGTTTCTCTTCGAAGTCATTCAAGCACCAAAGCCTACAGCAAAAACAATTAGGTATACTGCACCAAAATATAGGCACAGCTACTAAACAAACTCCTGCAAAGGTTGCAGAGCTATTTTTAAGATGATTCTTGAAAGTCGAGATATTCGCCCACATAAGCTCTTTGAAACCATTCAAGTATCGAAGAAATCTAGAAGCCATTTAGGCAACATTATTCTAATCGGAAATACTCTATTTTATACTAGTCGGGAATGCTTCGGTTTATTAGAGTAAACAATGTAACATTACTTTTTTTTAAATTTTCAGTGCTGATTAAAGGATAGAAACCATTAATTAATGAAGACGACAAACAACTTCAGAAAAAAATGTATAATTACTTGTACTCGATATTAGGACTTACGACTTTATCAAGGGTCTATGAACGTCATAGGTTACCAAACTGATTTTAAATTATGGTAACAAAACAAAATACAAATACAACAATATAACGGAAAAAGTGTACATGTTACATGATACAAGTATAGTCGAACAGTTTTGAGAGGTTCATCATAAAAATAGATGAAATCATAATGATAAAATTAATAATAATAATAATATGTTAAAGGGGCCAGGCGTTGTACCTATTAATGAAATGGCATCTGGATTGAATCAAAAGTGATTCCTTATATCTTCTGTCGAGAAAATATTACAACTTTCTAAAAATTTGATTTTATAAGGTGTCCCATTGATTGTGCCGTGTTCTTTTAAGTAATGTTCAGCAGTAGCTTCTTTGTTCTCAATATTTCCAATGTGTTCTTTGAAACGATCATGTATTGAATGACTGGATTCATCTATATATGTGGCCGAACATTGTATACTTGTAATTTCATAGACAGTGTTTTTAAGTGTGCAGAACTACTCTAAGCCATTCGTCTTTACAAAACATTTGTTGGATTTACATGCATTGTCGTTATTAAAGGCTGAACGAGTGAGTATATCCTTCAGTTTTCTACCAGGTTTTTGTATGATTTTGATATTCAAATCAGATCTTCTAATCGCTTGACGAAGGCGAGTAGTTAAAGGTTCATCCACAAAGGACATAATTTACGAAACAGGGTCTTGGTGTGGTAGTTTCTTTTTATGATGTCGTTTGTTAATATTTTGTGAGTCAAAACTGTGAAATGTCTTAGCAATGCATCTATACGGGTAGTCATTGAACAACATTAGCTTTTGAAGTTTGATCCTGGCTTGCGTCTTACCGTCCATGGTGTTACAGATTTTCTCAATTTTATTAAGTTGACCGATAATGACACCTCGTTTGGTAGCTGGTGGATGGTGTGAATTATAGTGTACAATAATAGGTTTAACATGTGGTTTAGAATACACGGAAGTAACAATTTTTGCTGTTTATGATAGTAACTATGGTATCAAGAAGTGGTATAGATTTCTGGACATTGTGGATATGAGTAAGTGTGAGCATTATGTCGGAGTGTTGATTATTAAGGAATTCAATCAATTCCAACAGAGAAGGGAGTCCATGATTCCATAAACCGAAAATGTCGTCAACATATCTGTACTATCTAGTTGGTTCGAGATGAGTTTCAAAATTCCACTGAGAAAGAGCTGATGATTCAAAGAAATGCATAATAACAGAGGCCACAACGACAGCAGTATTATTGCCCATAGCGATGTCTTTCTTTTGTTTGTAGAGAGTTGAATCAAAGTTGAAATAACTGTTGTTGAGAATAAATCTGAGAGAATTTTCAATGACTTCTGTAGAAATATCAATGGTAGTATAACAGCAGGTCGAGCTTATACTTCTTCTATTTGAATGGAGGAATACATAGAAACGACATCAAGAATAAAGAGGATAGTGTTCGAATTTATCTGTAAATCATCTCCGCATAACCTGTTGAGAAAGTCATCCTGCTATTAAGGTGTAAAGGTATTTTGTTGAGGAGAGGGTGAAATAACTTTTCAAGTAGCCATGATACAGACGATAAAGGAAAGCTGCAAATGGAAACTATGGGTCTTAGGGGTGTGTCAGGTTTATGAACTTCGGGTAATCCATACAGTTCAGGTTTTTTTGAATGAGATGGCCTTATATCACGTATCATGTACACTCTTCCGTTATATTCTTGAAGCTGTATTTTGTTTTCGGTTACTGTAATCTAAAATCAGTTTGGTAATCTGTGACGTTCATAGATCCTTGATAAAGGCGTAAGCCGAAACGTCGGGTACAAGTAATTAAAAATTTTTTTCTGAAGTTGTTTTTCATCTTCATTAAATAAACAATGTATGTTTTTATAACAGTGTTTCCAGCCTTAGTATTATTGATTATAGGTTTACAAGCCGCCACTGAAAAAACGACTATGAATATTTTACTGAAACCTGGACAATAATAATGAATGCAGTATTGGTATGTCATAGGGTCAGTGGCGTAGCAAGAGGGGGCAAGGGGCAGTCGCCCCCAGGCGCAGATGTGAAGGGGTGCAAAATTTCCTCTGGCCTATAATGCCTATTAATTAATAATTATGCCCTTCCCTA